TCCTGCCCAAAAGAATTCAACTCAAGCCTTCTTTCAGCCAAAGACAAGGTTTATTAGAACATCTATTGTCATATTGGGCAGACTCTTAAGGAGTCTGAACAGTAATAAGCTATTGGCTAGATTTTAAGAATCTAAGCATCTTAGTGGAGACAAGATGGACCTTATATACAGAAAGCCTGTGGGAGGGACCTAGGAGTGGCCAGTAAACTGGGGTGAACAGAACTCTTGGGACCTGGACCTTGTGGCCAAGGGAGAATGGAGCCTAGAAGGGTGGGAAATGGTCGGGGGCCATACATGGGGAGGTAAAACAAAGGAAGGCCAGTCTAGATTAACAGAATTGGGAGATTGGGAGTAGCCACAATGAAAGGCCAATTGATGGGATTATAGCCTCAGGTGAATGCCAGAGATTTGGCCAAGTGGCAAAGTCCAGGGTTTTTCCTTTCTGGGGTCTAGATCTCAACCCCATCATTTGGAGTTTGGGAGCTATTGGAGGTTTTTGAGCATGAGGGACATCATGAGAATGGAATTTCAGGATAGTCTTTCAGTGGTATGTACAGTAGTTATTGCTAAAAGCACACCAAAGCTGAAACTAGGGAGGGGCCATCAGAGTTTTGTCCCAGGCTAGTGATATCTAGAGTGCTAAAGGCAAGTTTTGTCTGCCTACTTGTTCTGCACCCCCTTCTTCCCTTCCATGGGAGTGGTCTTATGTAAGGCTATATTTCCTTCTCACTAGGCCTTGCTTTCCCAGGAAGCTATACCTGTGACCCAGGCTTTCCCTTGGTAGTCATATAACTCTGCTGGACATTTAGCATGTTCATGACATGAACATGTATTGTCATTTCTATATCTATGTCTATGTCTGCATCCTGTCTCTCTGCCTAAAGACACTGAGAAAAGGGATGGGATTCTTCTAATTAAGTAGTATCTTTTAAAATGGGATGGGGTAAATAACGCAAATATAACAGTGCATATTTAGAACTGAAATTTGGTGATGGTGGATTAGAAAGTTCAGTCCTGCCTGCACAAACATATATGTCTGACCCATTTCTGTGTTCATGGGAGCCGAGGGGGAGAGAAATATCTTTCCTGGGCTTTCTTCACTCTCCTCGATATACTATTTCACTTGGTATTTCATTAGCTTCTAGGAGTTATCGTTAAGTAGATGATTCCCATAGCTATCTACCCAGTTCTAGTTTCTCTCCTAGAACTGTAGTCTGGCATCATCAACTGCTTACTAGACATTTTGAACTGGATGTCCTGTAGGCATGTCAAATTCAATGTATCCAAAACAGAGTTTGAATTATCTTTCCCCCTATTATTGTCAAGGAAACCACCATTTTCCCACTTAAGCAGATTCATAACCAGTATGCCATCCTTGATTTCTTGATCTCACCACACACATCCCGATAACTTGCCAGATCTTGCCATTAATATCTTCACAACATCTCACCTCTGTGTGTCTCCCCTTCTTTCCACTCCCACAGTCATCACCCTTGTTCAGTCCCTCATCTCCTCTCATCTATTTCAATGGCTAATTGATGCCCTTGCCTCATCTCATCTCCTCCCCATCCCCCTCAATCCATCCTTCATAGATCTTCCACAGTGACTTTCCTAAACCATTAAACTCTCCCACTCAAACTCTAGGATCAAATATTGTACAAAGTTCTTTGATTTTTAAAGTTCTTCACAACGTGGTCCCTTCTAGGCTTATACTTTACTCCCTTTCCCATATGCTGTGATTCAGCTGTGCTGGTCTCCTTGATTTTCCTCCATAGGATACTCTCTCATCTCTTCTCCTTTGCAGTAGCTGTCCTAAATTCCTGGAGTACCCTCCATCCTGCCGTCTTGAATCTGAGAATCCCTGGCTTTCTTCAAGGTTCAGCTCAAATGCTGCCTTCTTCCTGGTCCCCCCTCAGATACTAAGACTTTTACTTTTAAGGTCACTTGTCATTTATCCTTGTCCTTATATCTATGTCTTGTCTATATGTGGTTGTTTGCGTGTTGTCTCTCCCATTAGACTGTGAACTTCTTGAGAGATGGACTATTTTTGTCTTTCTTTGTATCCCCAAGTGCTTAGCACTGTACTTGGTACATAGTAAGTTTTTAATAAATGCTTGTTTGCACATAAATCATCAGCATTTCTACATATCACTAACAAAGCCCAGCAGCAAGAAATAGAAAGAGAAATTCTATTTAAAATAACTGTAGTCAATATACAATATTTAGTAGTCTACCTGCCAAGATAAACCCAGGAACTATATGAACACAATTACAAAACACTTTTTACACAAATGAAGTCAGATCTGAACTGGAAAAAAATTTTAAAAAATTTAATAATTGTTCCAATCCAATTAACATTTATCAAGCACCTACTATGTTCTAGTTGGGTAGCTAGGTGACGCAGGGGATAGAGTGCTGAGCCTCGTATGAGGAAGACCTGAATTCAAATTTGGTCTCAGACACTGACTAGCTATGTGACACTGGGCAAGTCACTTTGCTTCAGTATCCTTATCTGCAAAATGAGCTGGAGAAGGAAATGTCCAGTATTTTTGCCAAGAAAACTCCAAATGGAGTCCTTAACAGTCAGACATTGACTGAAACAACTGAACAACAACAAAAATATTCTAATCACTGTGCTAACTGCTGGGGATGCAATTAATAAAAAGAAAAATAGTCCCTGACCTCAATATGCTTACAATCTAATGGGAGGGAGATACACAAAAAGAGGCAGGAAGAAGGGGACACCAGGTGGTATGATGGAGTTGAAACCAAGGCAGAGTAGCAAAGTGTCGGGGGAAATTTTCAAAAATGTAACTCTTCTTCGAAGAGGTGGGGAATGATCAATCAATTAATTAACAAGCATTTATTAAGTACCTACTATGTTCCATGTATTGAGGTTTAGGGGTGCTAGGACCCCAAAATAGTGACACTTGAGTCCTGCCCAAATGAATTCGACCTAAGCCTTCTTTTAGCTAAAGACAAAGTTTATTAAAACATCGGTAGAGGGTGGGTTCGATTCTAACAATCTGCCATATTGGCCAGACTATTAAGGACTCTAAGCATTGGCTGGACTCTTAAGGAATCTGAGTACCTTAATGGAGGTGAGATGGATCTTATATACAGAAAGACTGTGGGAGTGGCCAGTAGGCTGGGGTGACTGGGAGTTAGAATGGGGTCTAGAGAGGATCAAGGGTAGGCAGTAGCCAGGGGTGATCCAGAGGTAAGAGAGAATTGGGAGATTGGCCATAGGCCACAGTGAAAGCGCATTTGAGAGGATTATAGCCTCAGGCAAACGCCAGAGACTCGACCATGTGGGGAAGTCCACGGCTTTTCCTTTTTAGGGTACAGATCCCAAAGACATGGCTTTTTCCTTTTAGGGCTTCAGATCCCAACCCCATCACAGGCAGTATGCTATGTGTTGGTGATAGAAATACAAGAGGTAGTACATAGAATCTAGGGCTGACTCTTTCAACCCCCAGTAACACTGGTAGGTTGGGTCCCTAGAGGGCAGTTGCTACTTCTTCCCTTACTTAGGGTTTTAGAGGGCTGTGAAGGGATGGAGGTTTGTTTTCTAGTACTATGAGGACCCCCAGCATTATCCTCCACTGGTGTGCTTTCCCTGTCATACATTGATGTCAGTCTGGCAGAGAGAATGAGGTTTAGAAAGGTAGCATTCAACTAAGATGGTAGCAGTTAGAGCAGTGGGTACAAAAGAATCCCTCAAACAGGAGGTACATTCTCCCACAAATACATAGAGTCTAAGAGAAAGTGGGCTCAAGCCTAGAGCACAGAATGGTACAAAGGAGGTAGCAGACAGTTCCTCTGAGTTCTTTTGCACCCTTCATGGTGGCCCCAGGAAGTTCCCCCATAGTATAATGTGTCCTGTTTTTTGTTGGTCTACTTCTGGAGTAGCCATCTTTCCTCAGCCCCCTTCGTTTGTCCTTGGTCCTTGATGCAGAAGCTATTGTCCGAGACTGCTGTTCTGGGGATGCCTCCACTGGTCTTAACCACTTCCTGGGGGACATCGTTTCATTTCATCCAGTGACTGGAGGCATTACACACTTCCTTTCTAATTTGATGAGCAGGTAGTTCAAAGCTTAGTTCAATGCAATGACCTCTTATTGATTGATTTCAGAGTTGGGGAACTTGTAGCGCCCCCCCCCCCAGGCCACACGTAGCCCTTAGGGGATTTCTTCTGTGAAGTTTAGATTCAGTCAAAGGCCCCCACTTCAGGACGGAGAGGTTCACGTTGTGACCTTGAGACCGAAGGCTCCCCATCCCTAGATCAGATCAACAAAGATGTTCTCAACTGACTAAAGAATCCAGGTTAGAGTATTTTTCAAGGAACAGAGAGGGACAGGGCCCAAAATATGGCCTGTACTGTTAGATTCAATCAACAAATAATAACAGCTCACATTTATATAATGCTTGAGCCAGATACACAATGATAAAGCTTTACAATGATTATCTCATCCGACCCTCACGACAACCCTGAGAGGTTGGGACTATTATCCCCATTTTACAGATGAGGAAACAGGCAAATACAAGTTGAGTGATTTGGCAGATTTGAACTCAGGCCTTCATGCCTCGGTGTTATTTACCCTGTGCTCTTCCGCACCTACCTGCTTTGGTGTTGATGGGGGATGGCTGGTGTGGAAATCGTAGGGAGGTAGGGTGTGGCCCTGAGTTACTGTGTATAATCACGTGGGGAAGAGATGGAGGGGAGGAATTGGGAGCGTGTTGGGGTGGGAGTGGGTGTGGGTGTATTCAAAACAAGGAAGAGAGTTAATGAAAGTTAGTTGTGTGTTTACTGGAAGCCTAGGAGAAAAGAGGAAGTAGGGACTGGCGTGATTGCGCAAGCGCCAGGACAAAATGGCGTCCCTGTGTTGGCTCTCTTTAGCCTCCTCCCCTCGCCCAAGCCAGTGGGGGAGGGCCCAAAAGAGGGGCGTGTCACGTGATCCTGACCCCGGCTTCACACGCCCGTGGCCGCGCTGCCTGACGGGAAACGGAGGGGCGAGGGAACGAGGCGGTCGGCCATTTTGTGTCTTTCCTGTGGGACGCGGCGGCGCTTGTGTTGGACGGTGCGGTAGCCGTTGCGTGCTTGTATCCCTTTTCCTGCCTCTCCTTCCCTCTCTTGCTCTTTCTCCCCCGAGCGCACCAGCCATGGGGCGGAAGAAGAAGAAGCAGCTGAAGCCTTGGTGCTGGTATCCTTTGTCGGTTGGCCGGCGAGGCCCCGCGGGGGCGGCCGTTGGGGTTCGGCGGGGAGGGGGAGGGGGAGAGCCAAACCGAGGCTGAGGCCGCGGCCGCGGAGCGGGGCCCGGAGGAAGGGAAGAGAACCAGGCCGAGATCGAGGCTGTGGGGGCGGGGGGAGGAGGAGAGGCCGAGACCGAGGCTGCGGAGTCCGCGGGGGCAGGGAGGGGGGAGGAGGGAGGGGAGGCCCAGACCTAGGCCGAGACTGGGGCTGCGGCTGCGGAGCCCGAGGGAGGCCCCGGCAGCCGCCGCCCCTGCCGACGGAGGGCGGCCGGACTCTAAGGGGACATCGTGGGGACCCTCGGGCCGGCTTCGCGACCTGCCTCTTCCCCGGCCCGCCTGGACGTGGACTGGATCCACGGCTTTTTGTGGCGGGTGGGGGAGAAGGGGAGCTGGGCTTGGCTCCCCCTAATCTCCGGAGCCGGGGCCTCGTAGGAAGCCGCGCTAGGCCTTCCGGCCCGGAGGAGTCTCGGAAGGCCTTTCCCCTCCCCCTGGTGCTGCAGTTCATCTTGCTGGGTTCAGTGTAAAGGTCACTCCAAAGAAACGTACTTAAAATTTCCCCATCCCAGCTTCGTGCCTGACCCTTTTGTCCCGAAGTTGCAACGTTAACCACTATTAACGTTGTCTTAAAGAACTGGTTAAAAGGAAACCGCGTAGTACAGTGAAAAGGGAGAAAAAAGCCCTGGTAATCTGTCACGACTTGTGTGACGAGCCCCCGGATCTCGTTATCCTCATCTGTAAAATCATATTGGGTGCCTTAATAGATCCCTTTCAGTTTTGGATGCATGACTCTGTGAAAACTTGATTTGAGTTTTTGTAGGGGAGGGAAAGGACTTTTAAAAGACATCTTTATGATGCTGCATTTTTTTTTTTTTTTTAACTGTAATCCTTGTTGGGGGGGAATGATGGATTACTCTTGCCTTAGGTTGTTGGATTAATCTGTGTGCCAGGCCTTGGGAATAGAAAGAATAAAATAACAGCATTGGTCTAAAAGGAGCCTGCCAGCTAACAGAAGTGATTTCAGCTTGTTATTCAGTAGGCCACAATGAGGGAATTTCTAGTTTTTGCTAACATATAAATGCTGAATGGTTTGTAAATCAAGGATTTATTAAGTACCATGTTCTAGATTCTGGAGATAAAAACAAAACAAAAAAAATCTCTGCCTTTAAGGACCTTATTGTTAATGGCCTACTCTATGTCAAGTTTGGCCACCCACTTATTTTCTGTTTACCTTGGAATATTTTCTGGCAAAAGAAAATTTAAATATGTAAAAGCACAACAAACTCTTTCTATTCGGGTAACTTGGACTTTTCTTAAGCATTGAATTCCATGATTTTCTTTGACAGATGCAATTAAGAGACATGGGACAAAAAGACAAGTTAGTTTTGTCATTTAAAATACAAAAAAAAAGAAAGGAATTCGGTAAATAAAATAGCATCGATAGGTCGGATTTATGAATGTGGGACCTTGGGCAAGTCAGTTTTTGAGCCTCAGTTTTCTCTTTTCTAAAACAACGGGGTTGGAACAGACCTGGGTGAGGAGGTACCTTATCTTATACGTCTGTAATCCTACTTGGGACGGTGATGAGAAAACCATGGGAATGGGTGTGAAATTATGTGTGAAGAATATGTAGTAAGTAAATCGTTTGAAAAATTCTGAATGCCAAAGTTGTAAAATGCATGTAAGGTTGTAAACACAATTAACATGGATTCCTCACTATGTTCCTTAACAATATGATTAGGTATTGTAACAGAGATTTTGATGATGAGAAAATCCTAATACAGCATCAGAAAGCAAAGCACTTTAAATGTCACATATGTCATAAAAAATTATATACAGGGCCTGGTTTAGCTATTCATTGTATGCAAGTAAGTGGTTTTTTTCATACCTGTTGTTTTTTAATCTGTAAAAGTATTGTCCACATTTATTGTATTTTCTTCTGGGAAAGGGCTTGGGTGAATTTGTATTACAAATGTTAACAGCTGTGAACTTTAAATGCAAATGCAGTAATCAGATGTGTTTGCCAGTATTATGTTTTTTAGTCATAATTAAAATTTTCACTTAAGTAATTCAGGTAGAGGTTTGGACAGCATCTTTTGAAGTTATGCCCCTTAAAATATTATGTAGATGTTATACAAATCAGGTATCTGGAGAGAGGAATCTGATAGTGGTTTGAATTTTGCAAACAGAATTATCCAATTTTATTCCTAGTATACCAGTGCTTAATAACTGCTGTGCTGTTACTCATTTCCATTTAAACAAGACATTAGCCTAACTTTTTTGAAGGAGTATTTCATTTTATTCTTATAGAATTTCGAAAGAGTTCATTTAGATCATCCGTTTATTGCTGGGTTTCGCTAGTCTTTCTACTTTTGAGTAAGGAAAAATTTGTAACTTATTTTGAAGAGATTCTTAGAATGTATCCTGTTAATAAGTACTTTGGGGTCTGATTCAGCAGAATTTTCCCTGGCTTTGGTTAAATTGGCCCCAGTGATAATCTCTGAGAACTGATTTTAGTGGACTGTGTGGGAGGAAAAGCAAAACAAGATGTTTGTCCCAAGTTTAGCAGTAGTGTAGTGCCTATGTAGGGGCGCTAGGTGGCGCAATGGACAAAATGCCAGGCCTGGAGTAAGAAAGGCTTGAATTCAAATCTTCAGTTGGACACTTAGTAGCTGTGTGACCCTGGGCAAGTCATTTAACCCTGTTTGCTTCCTTCAGTTCCTCCTCTATAAAATGAGATAGAGAAGGAAATGACAAACTACTCCAGCATCTTTGCCAAGAAAAACCCCAAATATGGTCATGAAGAGTCAGACATGATTGAACAAAAGTCTTGATGAAAAGATCATTAGTGGTTTTCAAAGGGTTTTCTGCATATACTTTCTTTGTTAACAACCCAATGAGCTAGCTATGATAGGCAGACCCTTGTTTTGCAGATAAATTAGTTATAAAGAGGTTAGATGTCAGATAAATTAAGAATTGGAAATAGGATTACAGGCTCTTGAATTTGAGCCAAAGACCTTTTCCACCTAAGAAGCTTGCTCTTGTACTAGAATCCTGATTTCTGCTAGGTAAATAGGTACCTATTTATTTCTTTCTTCCTCACAGTTTCTTGTAAAATGAGTCTCTGCTCCTTCCTTCTCAGGGATGTTAATAGCAGGTGAGGGTGTTGAATATTTGTAGGAAGATACCATTTGAGTTTTTTGTTCTGACCTTTGCTTCCATCAGTGTAGAAAACTCCTTTATACCAATGCAGCCTCTGCTTACCAACCAATACCTCTACCAAGATGACTGCTGTGTAACTTCACTTCTTTGAGAGTTGCTAAGGTCATGGAGAGGTTGTCCTGCCTAGGTTCACACAGTATATGTCCAAGGCTAGATTTGGGTCCTGATCTTCCTAACTCCACGGCCTTTCAATGAATAGAGATTATACTATTTGTTGGGTAGTTTTAAGAAAGCCATGGTTGCTTAAGCTTACATAAGCCAGTAGAATTTAGGGAATAAACATGGATCATGCATTTAACAAAAATAATTTTAATTGACGCTATTAGGAGAAGCTGCCAATTAAATACTATGAATTTTTTAATTTGAGTTATATACATCATTAAATCTTCCAGGAAAGTTGAGATTTACATCTAAGTACATTTATGAAACCTAGCCAGCTGTCTGTTCTGATTGGAAGTACACTGGTAGGAAAGGGAAAAAAAATAAGTATTCTACCTCTGGAACAGTTATTCTATTTCAATAATAGGTGAGTGGCTATTGCTGAAATGTGTTAGGACATTTGTAGCTGTACTAAAACAGATGACTCATGTTATTTTAAAAGTAGATGGATCCTTGTATCTAGCAAAATACATAGTAAACATAAAATGGGCACGGTGGTTTACTGGAAAGGTCCTGAGGCTAAGATTCTGGTTTTGAGGATCCTTAAGTTGTAACCATTTTAAAACCAGTTTCCTTGTTTCTAAAATGAGAAAACTGGACTTCCAGCTCCAAAAAAAAACCTGATTTCTTCCTGATTCCTAGAGAGGTCTTCATGTTAACCAGTGTTTGTTAATATAAATTTCTTTTTTCTTCATCAAGTTGTGTAACAGAAAGCAAAAATGTTTTGATAATCTGTTTACTTTGTGGCTGGATAAAGTACATTGCTGATATTTTAAGCTCATGGACTTTCTCAATCTTCTTTCAGAAACCAGACCAAACAACCAACCTCTTCCCCACCCCCCCAGTCCTTTTGGAGCCTGTTTTAATTTCGTGGGGTACAGTAAAAACCTCATTAATACTTAAAGCCTTTTCAAGTGGTCTGCTTGGAAATAGACACCTAAAAGCAGTCCAAGATATTTTTGAAAGTAAAACACTTCTCAAAATTTTTCACAATTTAAACTTTAATATTTCATATATGACCCTCCCCTGCTCTCCAATTTTACACTTGAGTGATTTTTTTTTTAAGGCAATTGGGGTTAAGTGACTTGCCCAGGGTCACACAGCTAAGTGTCAAGTGTTTGGTCTGAGGTCAGATTTGAACTCAGGTCCTCCTGACTTCAGGGCTGGTGCTCTATCCACTTCGCCACCTAGCTGCCCTTTAGTGATGGTTTTTTAAAATGCTATCGAGCTTGGGATTTAATCGTTTGAGGGACCTCTTTTGAAAAATTTGACAAGCCAAATTTGGTCTTTATCTTAATGAAATGACAATAAATTGTTGTGATAGGTGCATAAAGAAACAATAGATGCTGTACCAAATGCCATACCTGGGAGAACAGACATTGAATTGGAAATCTATGGTATGGAAGGTATTCCAGAAAAAGATATGGATGAGCGGAGAAGACTTCTCGAACAAAAAACTCAAGGTGAATTTAAAGTTTTTGCTTTTCTTTCTCAAAATAAATTAAGTAATTCCCTGTTTTTTCCTTCCCTAAGAAAATACCTGGGACATGTAGAAAGATGTTAATTATTATTAGGTGATGGTTACAAAGAAACAAAGTCCATTACATTGGGAGATGATTGTGAAAGGGGGATGGGTTAAGGAGAAGTTGATAGAGTTCTCTTTTGGACTTTGTGAGTTTGAGATACTTAAAGTACACTTAAGAATAGATAGTCAGCTTCCTTCTCAGGTTAGATTGCCTTTGGGAAATTGTGTAGTACTTTTGTAATGGCCACCACTCACCCCCAGCTGCTTCTTAAAACAAAGATCCATCTTAGCATCAGAATTCAGATGATGCTGTGTGGTTGTTAGGGAATAATACAGTCTCCAAAGAATCAGTTGTTAGTTATCCATTGGACAGTGGGAAGGCTTATAGTGATTTGCAGGCTGTAATATGCTGCTAATCAGTAATTGCACAGGAACAGCAGCATGTAAAAGGTATTAGAAATGTATGACTAATAATGAGGAGGTGGGTAGGTCACTTAAGTAAAATTTTTCACTAACTGATAGCGCATATTCTACAAGTATTCTTTGTCAGTTCTGGAGGGAAGAACACATGGACAACATTCACATAGGAGATTAATGTTTTTATATCTGTGTAGTCAGTATAGTCTACGTCGTCATAGGACATACCATCAGTGAGGTCACAGTTCATTCAAAGTAATGTGTATTTTGTTACGGAATTACTTTAAAACTAGGTCAGTATGGTACAAGCAAGCTGTCAGGTCCTACTAACCAGAAAAGTCTTTAAGGACAGGTTGTGCAATGGTCTGTGTTTCTTATATGAGGACCGGTCTAGCAAATTTCAGAGGCCTTCATCACTGGAAGGTTTCTTCATCCAGGAACTGAATTATTTTGACTTCAGCAGTCCATGAAGACCATCTGATTTCAGGTTAGGAGATTGAAACTGAAATATTTGAAGTTTAAAGATTTGAACTGGAATGAAAAAATCCTCAATGTAAAAAATGACATAGTAATAATACTGTTCTAAGCTTTTTCCTTGCATTATCATAAAAATGAAACTTCATTAGCAGAGAGTCAAAAGAAGAAGCAACAAGATGATTCTGATGAATATGATGATGATGAATCTACAGCCTCAACTTCATTTCAGCCCCAACCTGTTCAACCCCAACAAGGTTACATCCCCCCAATGGCACAGCCAGGCTTGCCACCTGTGCCAGGAGCACCAGGAATGCCTCCAGGTAACACCTAAGTTACTTAAAATGTAGCAGTAAACCATAGAGTTGTATCTTGGGACCATTTTCTTTGGCTTAATTTCATTGTATTTACAAATTTTCTGACAGTTAAATTGTAACTCATTTCTTTTGAAAATTGTTAAATTTACAGGTATACCTCCATTAATGCCAGGTGTTCCGCCTCTGATGCCAGGAATGCCTCCAGTTATGCCAGGGATGCCACCTGGGTAAGGAAAATCTTTGTAACTGCTTTAGTTGGTTTGTGCCTAAATCCACTGGTCCTTTTCAACCCAATTGTTTCATCCAGAATTAAGAGCTATTGTTTTTTCTGTTCCCTTGTTCAGTATATGGCTTTATACATTGTGAACATGTGAAGCTAAGAACTGAGAAGACGTAACAATTAAATGCTGCAAATAATTTTAGAAATTACTCGCTTCTACAGAAAATGAATTTTTAGTTTCAGTTTGCTTTCATTAGCTATCTCTTTTAGTTGTCATTGCTGTAATTAAGATAGTTTATTGTAGTCCAACAGTTTCTGAGGTTTATAACTATCCATGACACGTGTGGACCAATGTAATTTATTTACTTGTTGAAGCATCAAAAATTTAAATAACTATGAGGTACCTGGGATTTTACTTAATCTTGTTGGATATGACAGGTAGTCAATACACTCCCACTGTATTTTGAAAATCACAGTTAGATTTTGATTTTGTCATACATTTTCACAGATTGCATCATCAGAGAAAATACACCCAGTCATTTTGCGGTGAAAACATGTAAGCATCTCATTCATAATGTAATTCAGGAGGTACATTCATGATGTCATTTTTTTGTGTATAATGATATTTATTCAGTTGACTTCAACAGTTTTGTAACTTTCTCACCAACCTTGAAAATCCCCATGGTCATTGACAGCAAGTATCTAAATAGCAGGAAAGAGAAATGGTTTATTTAGACTTGTAAATTAAACATAGGTTTTTAAAAGTTTTAGGTTATATTTGTCTCAAATGACTTCTACTTATGGGGTTTTTGTACTAAAGTTTGGTCTGTACTTAGAGATTGCCATCAACTAGCTAAATCACATTTTAATTGTTTAGGTATGAAACTTAGTATGTACTTTAAAATTTTTATTTTTCAAAGTCCATGACAGAGACTTAGGAATTGAGAAATTGAAGTGTTTATCTTATTTCTTTAGCTAGTTTGGAAAAGTTTTTATTTGGGAAAGAATGCTATTGAAATGTGTATATTTAGGGATTAAATGGTGGATCTTTTTAAGATTATGGATAAATAATAGTTTAATCCTTAAAATGAAGAAAACAAATACTTTGTCTCAGAGGCTAAATATATGTAGTCTTAAAACTGAGGCAGAAAGAGAATAATCCATTTCACTCAGATTTATGGCTATTTTCTATAGTAGGCAAAGGTATTACATTTCACTATTATGGTAGATGCTACCATATCTCATGGTAGCACCTTTTATTTTAAACAAGTTTATGAATGAAACATTAGATAATAAATTTGGTAGAGCATTCTGTTGAGGAAAAATGCAGGCAAGAAGATTGACTTTGCTCCTTTTTCTGGTAAAGTTTACTGGGTTTTTTGGTTTGTTTTTAGAATTTTTAGTCTTTGAGGGTTGTTGAAGGAATTGGTGGTTTTGGTTTTTATTTTTTTGTTGTGTGTGCTTTGAACTTGATTGGATTCATGAAGGCTTTTGAAGTCTTTAATCCGTGATTACTTCAAGTCTTAGTCAAGATGTCTTCTATAGTTTACTCTTGTGTTTTACGTTATGTTTGTTCTAAAATTTGTTTTTCCAATAGAATGATGCCAATGGGTGGAATGATGCCACCTGGACCAGGAATACCACCTCTGATGCCTGGTATGCCGCCAGGTAGGACATGCAGAATGCTTCCTTATGTAACATGGGTTTTGTAAGTTTATTTTTCAATTTGGATAACTAGATTTGACCCATGAGATGTTAGTAGGTCACATACTATTTTTTTTTCCCCTCTGAGGTTTGAAACAGGGAGTTAAAACTAGCACCTTATCTGTCAGCCTCAGCCGTCTCCTAAAACTGACAACCAGCAAATTAGCAAATGGCTTTTGAACAGCTGAACTTATTGCCAAGCCCTGTACCGAATCATTTAATGCACTTTGATGCTCATCGGTCATCCCTTTCTGCTCTCTTGGCTTTTTATATAGATAGAACTTTGACTAGCTTGGTTAGAAAATTGGGGAGCAGTCAGCTAATCACTATGAGAAATGACATTATCTTAAGCAAGAGAATATAAGAAAACTAAAAAACAAGTAAAAGAATTAAAGCACGGGATTCCCAATGAAGGAACACTACTTAGGCCTTAGACCTTTGGGATCGCACTATGTCATAGCACAGTAATTGAATTTATCTTTGTGATGATTCCGAATTATTATGAAACGAACATAATAGTCTATTGTTTTATACTATTATAGTTTTATCTATGTTTATTCTAAAATTTGCTTTCTAATAGAATGATACTGATGGGTGGAATGATGCCATTTGGACCAGGAATACTGTCTCTTATGCAGTTAAATATATGTTAAGGCAGGGAAGTGTAAATCCGTTTTAGAAAGATTTCCATTAAATATGAGAGTTTTGGCACTTGTTAGTGATTGGGACAAAGAAAGCAAGCTTATATTTTAAATTACTTGATCATTGTTTACTTTGGAAATACACACAAATACCTGATTTTGTGCACATTTGCATTCTACTTCAGAAAGTTTCCTTGTACTTTACAAACACTAATCCAAGTATCAAGTCTAGAATTTTAGTAAATTCAACCCTGGGCATAAGTTCCACACTGTCCCCTTTGGTGCACTACTCTGCATATTTCCTGTATAGAATGCTTGTCACCTTCTTTTAGGCCTGTAGAGAAATAGGGAAGGGGCAGGGGTTAAAGGTTTTTCATAAGGGCCAGATGCCACAGTTCTGAATTAATTGAATTTATGGATCAATTTCTAAATTTTTGGTTTAGAAACATTACATATTTTACATATATTAGCCTCAGTGTTTTGTAAAAATAGTTTTTTATTAATGAAATGTTTAACAGACTGACCAAATTTCCACTCATTTTTAGGTATGCCTCCACCTGTTCCTCGTCCTGGGATGCCTCCTATGACTCAAGCACAGGCTGTAACAGCACCTGGTATTCTTAATAGACCACCTGCACCAGCAGCAGCTGTTCCTACTCCCCAGCCTCCAGTTACTAAGCCACTTTTTCCTAGTGCAGGACAGGTAAGGTGTTAATTGATTAGATTCTGGATGTTTGCATTTAATTGTAAATAACTGCTATTTCTCATGCATATTACTGAGGTTATAGTTCAGTTTTTCTTTTGGAACCTTTTAAATAGCAGTTTGATATTAGGTATTGGTAAGGATTACACCTATGTGGAGACCATTTGATATCCTCTATTCAGAATAGCCTGAAAGCTGTCAGAAACTTTACATTGCTTTTTCACGTCAAGACCTTTGGACAAACTAGTTTCACCCTTTCATGACTTGGCTCTAACTGTGGCTCAAAGTTAATTTCTTTGCATGGATATGAAAAAAGAAAGAGCTGACCTTGGGCAAGTCACTTAACCCCAATTGCCTTACCAAAAAAAAAAAAAGAGAGAGAGAAAGAGCCAGGCTTCTATTAGGTGAGCTGAAAGCGAGATGAGACTGGGATGAGGGATGAATGATGAATATTTCTGTCTGCTTCACCAAATGACTATGTGACTCTCTCCAGGTGAATATAGAAACATTTTGAAAGGCTATTGGGATCATGAATTCTTTGCCTCCAAACTAATAGAAGATGATCTTTTCTGGTTGCATATTGACTTACTTAGAAAACCAAAAATTAACATTTATATCTTATTGTATATTTATTTTGTTAAGCATTTCCCAATTACATTTTAATCTGGTTTGGGCTGCACTTGGGAGTTTTTAGGGCTTGACTTCTATACTTTTGATCTAATTCATCTTATATTCTTATGACACAGTTGTCTGAGAAAGTTAATTTTTTTTTCCAAGTTAAACGTTTAAGTGCTTGTTATATTCGACATACTATACTATTTATTTTTATGACTAAAGATGAGGACAGTAGGTGTACCTTAGTTGTCTAGTTGATTTATAGTGAATATGTTCAGGCTTGATGAAAATAACATTAAACCTGTATTTATTTCCCCCCTTTTTGTTTTACCTTTTTCACTATTTTGATTCAGAATCAATCAGTGGACTCATTTATAGAAAAACCATGAAACATTTGGAACAAAGAGGTTTCTCTTTAATTGATAACATTTTGGGTGTGCCTTTTTGATTGGTATTAAACGCTATGTGAAAGTGATAACTTCAACTTTCTAGTTAATTTTTCTAGTACTTGAGTGTTTTTTTAACATGGAGAGAAGTGCATTCATTTGAGACAGTGACAGCATGAAGTTTAACATAAGTTCTTGGTATTTGATTCACTCGTTTACTTCAGACTTGAAAGTATTTATCTGGAATATTCATTCATAGGAAAAAATTTTAGCTAGGTTGGGTGGGTTTCTTTTTTTTCCCACTTCCCCGCCCTCCCTTTTTTTTTTGAAGGCTTGTGACCATTGCCATTGGATTGTGTTTGTTGTAAATGAACATGTCCTGCCTGCCTTTTGTAATAACTATATCAAATTGGATTATATTTTGCAGGGAAGGTAAATTCCTCATTTACAAAAATTCAATCTTTAGGTTAAAAAGTCTACCACGTGGCTTATTTTCACCCATTTGTTTGGAGACTTTTCACTGTTTCCTTTCTTTTGTGCTACAGATGGGGACACCTGTTACAAGCTCAAGTACAGCTTCATCCAATTCAGAAAATCTGTCTGCATCTTCTAAAGCTCTGTTTCCTAGCACAGCACAAGTACGCAGGAAGTTGCAGTTAAAAAAAAAAGCTTTACAACTTAACCCTTTGGACCCTTTTAAACCTCAACATTGAGATATGGCTAGTTTTTAAAAAAAACAATTATCACTAACTACTGTCATGAATGCTAATTTTAAAGCTCAGCGGAAAAACAATACCCCAAATTTCTATGGCTCTAAAGGGTTAAAAAGCATGTAAGCATTAAATGCTTCTTAGTGGCCAATGGTTAGCTTGATGCATGATTAAGCTCTTGATTTATGCTGTTTAATCTAATGCATCACATTTAATGTGCAGGAATTCAGTATTCTGAATTCTATACTAAAGTTGAAATATTTGGCTTTGTTTTCTCAGCTTTGGTGATTTATTTTTTCAATTCCAGAAAAACTGCTAAAGTTACTGATATTTTAAAAACCACATAAATTATCCCTAATTTAGTCTTTCTGTTGGACTGATGATTTGTGGCCTACTTTTAAAACAAATTTAATGAGAGCATTTCAGTATTCTTTGTTATAGGATGCTTTTAAAGGACAGATGAATTAGTCATTACTGATACTGTGTTTAGTAACAGTGGGATTTGCACAAACATGACATTCTTGGCAGTTTCTAACATTTTTGAGCTGCATTGTAGATTAATAATTGCTAAAAACAACTAATTAGAATGGTGAAAAGAGCAAATCACAGTATTCCAGTATATGACACTATACTCGATCATCAGGAATAACTGGATAGCTTTGTGTAAATTTTTCTTAAATTTTGGGGTGAGGTGGTGAAAGAAATTGAAGTTACACATGCTGTCTTGTTAGTTTGAATTGATTTGTATTTTGGTGGTTGCTTTTGTCAAGTACCTTTTGACATAAATCTTCGGGAGTATATTGGGTTTTGTGGGACTTTTATGTTGTGTTCTTGAGTTGCTTCGATATAATTTTAAGGCTGGAGTGCTGTATTGTGGGCTAGCTTATTTTATATGTGCTTTTTTTAAAAAAGTTACTACCTAAATGAAATTATTTGGATATTTGAGTTTTGCTAATTAAGAATTGTAATTCACAGGCTCAGGCAGCTGTTCAAGGACCTGTTGGTACAGATTTCAAGCCTTTAAATAGTACCCCTGCGACAACTACCGAACCTCCCAAGCCTACATTCCCTGCTTATACTCAGTCTACTGCTTCAACCACTAGTACAACGAATAGCACTGCAGCCAAACCAGCTGCTTCTATAACAAGTAAGCCAGCTACTCTTACGACAACCAGTGCAACCAGTAAGTTGATCCATCCCGATGAGGATATATCACTGGTAAGTGGTTTTCAGTTTTCACTGATAAATATGGCTACAAAAGCAAAATATTTTAGCAGTATTTCACCTTTTAGTGAGAGTGATCACGTACAGGCACGTACCTTTGTGTTAAAAGATTTTGATGCTCATAAATTATTTACCATTCCTGGTTCATAAAGGAAACATTCAAAGGGTATTTAGCTCTGGTATTTCCTATTTTGAATGTTAGAATGGATTTGAAATTATACCTTACTTGCTTTCCCCTTTAATATTTTAGTTAACATAAATCTTAGAATAGGTGTCAGCCAGTATCAGCAGGTCACCAAAACAAATATCAAGAATGTTACTGACTCTCTTCCTTGTTATCTTAACATGTTTTAAAAGACCATGTTTTAAGTGTGGTCGGTTATTTAAAGATAGTTTGACAATAAGAAGTTAATACTGAGTTTACTAGGCCTGCTTTAGTTGTAATGTTGAAGATTACTAGGGTCTATTTTGGATGGTTCACCTAGAAAGTTAAAAAATTATGCTGATAATTAAAATACTCAGTCCAGGATGGTTTATGGGTGTTTTATTTTGAGTATTTTAACTACTATGTCCAAAGTTTCTTAGTGTTGACTAAGTTCTGTGTGTTGAGGTTTTAAAAGTATTTTGCTTAATTCCATTCTTAGGAAGAGAGAAGGGCGCAGTTACCTAAATATCAGCGTAATCTTCCACGACCAGGACAAGCCCCTATGGGTAATCCACCTGTTGGACCAATTGGAGGTATGATGCCACCACAGCCAGGAATTCCTCCACAGCAGCAAGGAATGAGACCTCCATTGCCTCCTCATGGTATTCTTTTTTTTGTTTGTTTCCTGGAACATAACCTTTCTATAGATTTTAAAGTAATTGACGTTGCAGAATGTGTTTTTAAGGGCCTACTTACCTGTGTTATATCTTTGGATATGTTTTATAGGTCAATATGGTGGTCATCATCAAGCCATGCCAGGTTACCTTCCTGGGGCTATGCCTCCATATGGGCAGGGACCTCCAATGGTACCCCCTTATCAAGGTGGGCCTCCTCGACCTCCGATGGGAATGAGACCTCCTGTAATGTCGCAAGGTGGCCGTTACTGATGTTACTTCGCCCAATCTAATAGGTTTGGAGATTAAACCTTTTCTCATCTTGTGCTGTTTATATAGCCAAGCTTTCGTCAATTAAGGCTTCATTGTGACTTTAACAAACATTATCTTCTCACATACCAGGAACTATTGGACATTTTGTTTTACACAGGAAAATTTTATTTGGAATAATAAAGCAGGAACTTTTCCTGATGTTGCAATTTATACTGTATGGCTTCTTTTTCATGTTTCATCTAGGTTTTTAGAAGTGAAGTATAGTAAATATGGTTCGTTAAATTGTGAAGGCGCTGGAATTACATGAACATACCACCTTAAAGGCAAGTTCTGTAACCTTATGTTGCTATTTGTAAAGTTATGCCTTCGCAGCATTTCATATGCTGTTGGACTTTATGTCCCCAACATAGCTTGGTGAGGGCTGTAACTGTTTCCAAGTACCTGTACATTGGAAGTCTGAACGTGTAACAATATTTAATGTACTTAGAATTCCTCATGTTGCAGGGTTTAAAAAAAAAAAAAAAACAACTGACCCACTAAAGGTCGTGTGACTTTTCTGTACTGTTAAAACTTAATTGTAATAAAATGAAAGAAAAATTGATGCCTTTTTATTCATGACCAGCTGTGGACCACTGCCTGAAAGGTTTGTACAGCTGCATGCCACAGTAGATGTCCACATATAATAAAAATGCATAGTTACTGGCAAAGTTTTGATATACTCTCCAATTTTGTGTTTGAATTGCAGGTCACTCTTTAGCTGCATGGTGAAAGTTGCTTATTTCTGAGCAATAGACATAAAGTTGTACTTTTATTAACTCATTTACTGTTTATTAGACATAATGCAGAGTATGAATACACCATTACATGATGAGTATAAACATTTCAGTGCTTTCTTCCCTTGATTTCAATACATTGCAGGTGACTTTAGAAATTTAGTATATGAGTTTAACACACCTTCCCTACTGCTGCTGGGTATATAGACTCTAGTGCCAGACACATATGTAATTTAGGATTGTTTCGTTTAATACTCTAGTCATGGACCTCAAAAGCTTTACAGGTGCAAGCTTCTAGAAGTTTAGCCACATACTATAAATGTTTTCTATATTTGTCTTAAAACATTGAAAACTCATACTTGATGCTACACTAATTTTTAAAATTTGTATCCTAAGATTAAAACGTGTATAGTTTGATAGTTCCCGTATAGCAAGTTGGTTACATAACTTTACTAATTGTATTGCTGAGCATCTTTGAGTTAATATTAAGCTTATGAGGGACTGTGAAATTAATAGGAATTTGTTTTATAGTCTTAAATCTGCATTAGTCTTTTAAATCTCAGACTCCATCCACTAACTGCATCTAGCAGCTAGTGATTATTGTAGTCAACTGGCTTATGATTATTGTGGATATTATCACTTTGTCATAGGATATTTAAAAATTTGATGTAAGAACTGACTTATGCTCTTCATTTGTAGAAATAAGACTTTTTAAAGTTTTTAAAGAGCTTTTGTTGTGTTTTATTAATAGATTATCTGGTGTTTCTCTTGTAGTTCTCTTTATTTTCATTTAAGTTTATAGTTAACAGATGTGATTTTTTTCTTAAAGAATTCAGTATATAGTTATAGAAGGTTTATCTGTAATGTCATCATAAACCTTTTCCATCTGGTATTAATATTTATTTCTAAGAGCCAAATTACTTCACTGTTTATAAATTTTTATATGAGGGTAAGGGAAGAAGAGTTGTGATTTGATACTTTATGAAATATTTTCACATTCTTTATGAAACAATTTAAACTCAAGAAATAGATATTTTATTGTAATAAAAATGACTTGAATTTGTTAATATGGTACAAGTCTTAGTCCTCAAGCATGGTCTTTTATCAAGTGTTTTGCCTTTTTGTTTCAAGGAAACCCATGTCTGAATTAAATAGTGAAAATCATTTATTTGAAAGATGCTCAGCATTATAAACATTTTCATAGTTGTCAAGTTGTCAGCTACTATTCCATTCTTTTGGTAAGAATTTTCTTTCTGGTGTGTTAGAGACACATCCAAGATCACTAGTCTTGGTGGTAACCCAGCTGGGAACTGCATAAGAGCCCCTGCCCCCAGAGGGATCTTATGCTCAGTCTTGAAATTCCCCAAAAAGCTTGTAACTGTACAAAAGGATAACAAATGGTTAAAACGTATTTGGCATCAGTAGGCAGGAAAAGATTTCTAAAACTAAGTTAATTGGAAGTGCATTTAGTTGTGACATGCCTGCAAAAGTAGATTTTTGGTAGATTGTAATGATTTATGTGATTTAAATGTGTGGTCTCTTTAATTGACTTGTATGGACTCATCTTGTATGAAGTTGTGAATTTCCATTTTATATATGAGACCATTATTTTACAACAAAGTTCTTAATGCATTTTGAAGTCTATGGATCAAGAACTTGGTGTGCAGAAGTTAATACTTCTAGTGGCTTTGATGCATCCATTAAAATATGATTAAACTTCTGGAAAACACTTTCTTGTGCCTAACTGCTTTTGTGGTCCATGGTGGTATGTATTACTTAAATTGGAATAATAGAGATGATTTTGTCACTTTAAAAGTTTCCTGAAATAATTGGTAAAATTGTAGCAGAAATCCTATGGAGTGGGTTAGCTGGGCAGGCAGTATAATTTCAATGATTAAGAAAGTGACAAGACTGATTTACTCTGGTCTGTCAGTTTCTCATTTTTCCTTCAAGACTAGCTCTTTAAATTTGTCTGGCACTAGTTGTTCTGTATGAACTATTAGTTGTATGGTTAGACAACCAACCAACTGAGGGTCAAGTGGCTGGTGAGATTTTCATTTCACCTAGAACATTTCTAGTTTAGTGACATAGCATAATAAATTTTACAAGATATGGGGAAAATATATAGTAGGTGTATTAATGTTCCAGTGATCAAGCTGCAAATTAAATGTTTATCTCAGCACCTTCTTTCTAATTTAAAAGTGTGGGGGAACCCCCAACAAATAAAAAATGTGGGCTTAGTATGAAATTATAATACACAAGTAGTAAAAAGCTGATTTTTCTTTTGTTTGCTTGATCATTGGGATTTTGTTCATTTTTTATGCATGTCTTTAAAATTAATTGGGTCATGTTTTTCTAAAATTGAAATTTTCTTCTTCCTATAGCCCTGCCATAGGACAGGCTGAGGCTGAGTCTCAGTGTTGCCCTGTTCAGTCTGAGGCAAGTGGGATTTATTTTATTCCTTATGGGGGCTTTCACAGCTTTATGGCTGTTGGATATTTATGTCCCCAAACTTGCAGCAAGTTTGGTGAAGGCCCCTAAATTTAATTAAATTTAGGATTTTTATAATCTTTTGGCAGAGAAGGCTCTATATTAATATTCCTGTTTGACTGTGGTGTTGTTAGATAAACAAAACTGAATGTTAGGCATTTATTAGTCCTACTATAGAAACATTAAAATTTTCTGAAATTAATCTTACATGTTATATAGTGTTTTGACTGCCTCTACTTAGTTGCCTTCATTTGGAGGCATGAAATTTGTTCAGTTATGCTATATTTGTATTTATGACCTATGAAAAATTGAATTACCCAGCTTTTTAACTGAAACATTGCATTAGACCTTAGATACATGTTTGATAATTAAAGTAATTTAATATTAAAAATTGCATTTAAAATGAAACTTTTGTTATCTATAAATATTTGATATTTTAAAGTCACCACATTAGAGCAAATGTTAATGTAGAGCCCCTACATTACATGGGGAGGGGGGAAGAGAATAGAAATTTGATTTTATAAAGGCTACTAAAAGAAAGGAAAGAAATTTTGAGCATAACAGACATCAGTTTGAAAGATTAGTGGCTAATGTGTTTAATCAACCAAAAAAGTTGGAAAATGTGGTATATTTTAAAGTTAGTAATGTGCTTTAAAATTGCAATATTGAGATAATTTTGAGGTTTCTTTTCAGGCTAATTGAATAGAGTCCCAATCCATTCTAACTAAATTTTACTTGGTGAGACAAAAGCTTAAACCTAGATTAACATCTTTATTCATAAGTTTTGGCCCACCATTCTGCCTCTTGGAAAGCCTTTTTTTGAGCAACAAAGTTAAAAGCAGTTTAAGCACTTAAGAAATGTTGGGTTTTATTTCTCTTTAGCATTTTTAAATGTGAAATTAAAATATTAAATTATTACCAAATCGCCAAATTGTTTTTAAGGTTTTATAAAGATGATTTTTCACTCTAGTTTTTAGTGGATGATAAAAAAAATTTTTAACTTTTTCTTTAGCAACAAACTTACTGCTTCTGATTTCATTATTGCTGTTTGAATAATTATGATCGACAAATCTAAAAAGATAACCTGATACAGGAGGAGTCAGATATTTGGCTCCTTCCATAGCATTAGCTATTATTTTGTGTTAATACTAATGTCTAGAAATTGTTCTAATACTTACTAATGCCAGAACTTTAGATAAGTCTGAATCAGCTGAGAGCTCTTATATCCTCCTTAGGAACTATTCCTGTGGTATGATGGATTTTGCTACTCTTTTATCTTAAAGGGTGGTATTTCATAAGGGAGACCCAAAGTCTATTTTTGAAAAAAGAATATAATTAATGCATTAAAAAGTAACTTTGTAATTTGTGCTTTAGTAGATAAGTAGCAATTTAGAGATAAGACTTAACTAATGGTTCAGGTATCTGCAGCATCTGTTGGTAGCATCAGATAAGTGTTATGGTTATTTGTTTACAAAGACAGTGTTTTGTTTTAATAAAATGAACAGTAGATGTCTTCAAGCATAATGATAATGCTTGTTATGTAGTCAGGTATAGGAACCCTCTTACACATTATTTATATTTCCTGTCACTTTGTACAATAATCAACCATTGTATTTTTAAACGGGTATCCTCCTTTGATCTAGTTGTGGGTCATCCAATTCTGAATGCTCTGGATTTGATTTTCTTTTCCTGTAAGTCTTCAAGTTAACATAATTTTGGCTAAGAGGAGGCATGAAATCTTAAGCTTTCAGATTTTGCCTCTGATACAGTTGTTAATAGAAATACTTGATGGAACTTTGTAAATAATGTTTTGTTAATTGCTTTTCTGGCAGTTAACTGCTATGATTTGAATTTTCCCCTTTCATGTAACTAGAATCATTTACTGTCATTGTGTGGGTTTCATAGTGTAGGAGTCACCTGATTATGCCTTATATAATATGTAAAGTGTCCCATTTAAAATCAGAAGCACTTAGCTTTTTATAGCATTTTTAGTACAGTGCCTTGCACTTGTTGGTGCTTATAATTTTGTGGTTGATGCTGAATTACTAAAATATTTTCCATAACAAACCCTTCACCCCCCATTATGGATCATATTTAGATGAATGTGTAAAGAATGGGGAAGGGAAAGCTTCTGTTTGGACTGCTCTGACATTTGCAGATCATCATCTTCATATCATAGTATTCAAGCATTTGTAGTTTTTTCCTGAACCTAGCATTGGTTGGAAATGAAGAGTGAGTGTGGCTTGTGAAAGAATGCTGCACTGTATAATGATCCATTGGAATGTTGCTGTCTTATTAACAGAAGCAGAATGCCTTTGTAAATAGATTTGTTCTTGGCCCTAAGGAAGAAGTGTCCTCTCCCCCTTCCCTGCCTTTCCTCCTAATGTTAGAGTATCTGCTACTCTAAAAGTCTGTTAAAGTCAACCCAGCTTGTTTATGAAAAATCTGATGTGTAACTTTAAAAAAAAAAAAGAAAGTGATTTTAAGACCTAAATATAGATCTTAAGAGGATACTTTCTGGTGGTTAACTAGGGTGCACCTACTTTGAGGCTATAATGGTGGGTGCTGGCCAGTGCTTATTCAAGAATAACAGATTAGTTGAAGGTTTTCTTGATTGATAGGTAGAAGGATTTTAAGTTTTTAGGAGCTTGGAGGTTAAATACCATATATGTAATCAAATTACTCAGGATAACTGCAAGGGACATGCGTGTAAGTAAAATCTACCTTAGTTATTATTACTTATCACTTTCGTTTCATTGAAAGCTATTTTTTGATGCTAAATTGCAATTTATAGTTATGGGTGCAGGTGTGTGAAACATTTGACAAAATACAATTTTGCCATATGAGTAGATTGGCAAATAATTTTGGCATTTGTTCTGGTCCTCTAGTATCACTGACACACTAGGAGTTTCACCACTAAGGTGATTTAAATTTAGAGGGTCTCCAAGATTTGCCTTTCGTGGTTGAATTTAGCAGTGAGTCCTCTGCTGTCCAATGTGGACTAAATAATCATGGTGATCTTCCCTTAAGCCCAGCAAACCTTTGGTATTTATATTGTTTTGGACAGATCCTCTGTGTCTGGATTTTAAATCACATAGTTGGAGGCAGAGATGGACTGCTTTCTGCATCCTACTAAAGGAGTTTTTTAGAAACGGTGATTTTCTGTATTGGCCCGACATTGGCAAGACGTTTTCATATAGGGAAGAGTTCCTACTCATACTTTGCATTTGGTTTTGTGTCCTCCAAAGTAATGACATAATTTTTTGTCATATTGGGAAAATTATTTTCATCTTAACATAAGTTTTCCTTAATATTTGCTTCATACACAGTTCAACATTTTAAACTGGAAGAAAGGAGGAGTATCAGTATAAAGACATGGAGGAAGTAACAGTGATATCATCATCTACTATCATCACAGATTAATAAGACTACCTAATAACTAAAGTGGGCAAGGGGAAAAACAATATAGGGGAGAAATAGAGATTTTCCCTTTATGGTAGAAAAGACCTCTAACCAAAATTATATAGCAGATCTTTTTTTTTTTTAATTGAAATTAAACAGTAGAAATCCCAGTTCTGTCATCTTAAGTTTTGACATTTTAAAAGAAGTCACTTGTCTGTGGTGTAGAATTTTCTTTAATTTAGAAGTTTTCTCTTTATCTTGAGATTCTGCTCCTTTAGAAGCAATTGCTTTTATTAAGTCAACATAAATATCAGAATATGCAAATTATATCATTGGTTAGAAGGAATCATTTCATCATTCGGATCAGATCACACCAAATTTAATAGCCCATGTAAAGTAATTTTGTGGCATTTAGAGAAATAACTAATGTTTAAATAGCAGGCTCTGAGGAAATTTAATGCACATTGACTTTATAACTATGGATTGAACTCCTCAGTTTAATACAATTTGTGTTTTTGTTAACTAGCAGCAGAATTTCAGCATTTGCTACTTACTGGTAGAGAAGAAAAATCCCACAGCACTGCCAGTACAGGTTAGTTTAATCTGTAAGTACCTGATGTTCCTATTTGAAATATTGTTTTCAACATATCCATATAACCACACAAGGAAAAAAAAAGCCTTCTAGTTAAATATGACTACATCTAATATTGGCTGCTTTGGACATGTAAAAACACACACTTGGGGGCAAAAGCAGTTCTAGACCCGCTGATTTTAGGTCATCATAATGACGCTCCCTTATGATCTGGCTCTTTGTGGTTGACCCAAAATAGATGTGCTCTCCATGAAAGGAAAAGGCAGTAGGGGTTTTGTTTGGCCAAGGCTGGAGTACTGGAAACCAGAGCTTGGATTCATCTGTTGTTTGAGCCTCTCTGCATTCTTTCTCGCATTCTCCCTTTGTTTAAGATAACACTTTTATAGTGTGGCTTGAAGTCTTGAAAAAATGTTCACTCTCTACAGCTTAGGAACACCAAATGGTTGTACAGGCATAAGATAGAAAATGTTAAAATAGTGTACATTTTGACTATAGATGTTTTAGTTTTGCTACAAACAAGCATTAACTTTTTGCTTATTTTACATTAGAATATACCTCAATTTTATGTTACTGTTTGACTTTTAGGTACTTTTTACCTTTGTACTAAGAACAGCATAAAACCTCATTCGTTACATCTAAGTTAATGTAAAACTCCACATCAGGAAATTCAGGCAGATGCTGCAAGTGTGATAACTTTGGGTGGGAAATAATTATATGTATATATTTTAACATTCAGTTTTTTATTCTACCAAGGGCTTGAAATTATGCTAACCATGTTCAGTTTTTTTTCTCTTTAAAGTATTGCTTATTTTTGGTTCTTAAAGAAGAGTATGTGTGACTTATTCTGGGAATTGGGAGTGGTATGAAGAAATGAATCTTTAAGCAACATAGATAAGCTATATAAATATGGACCTTAAAATACGGGGAGACTACAAAGCACTTATTCTTCAGAGGCTTAATTTCCCCTCCTCCCCTTCCCCAATCTTGAGCTTTGATTATAATGTCTTCCTTTCACATTCATTACTGTGGGAAATTTGGGGGGAGTGGGAGGTTGGGAGGGGAGTACAAAGATTCATAGGACTTCATCTCTGGAAGCTACATTTTTTGAATTTTTTAACTTAAGGTTTTTCCCATATAGAAATTGGGAAAACTTAAATTTTAAAATAGATATTTACTTAGTCTTGTGCTCCTGCTAAATTGGAGTTATAACTATTTGAAAACAGTTGCCTTTTCATGATTTCATAGACAAGTCTTGTTTGGTTAAAATAAATCTAGGGTTATCTGCTGGTAATGTGTTTTTTTTTTTTTTAATATTTACTGTTGTTTCTTATACGAAATTACCTGAGGGCAAAGGTTCCCTGCCTTTCACAGTTTAAACTGTATTTAAGAAATGGAGTAGATACAGTGGAGATTTGGTTTTCCTTAAAACTATCTCTATACGAGCTGTCTTCCTGGTGAGTACCATTTTACACTTTTATCTCAAGTTTTACATTTTTAAAAAAATGAACTAACTTAAGGCACCACCTGCATATAGTTTTAAGCAGAATTCCTCTGTAGCCTTCCAGGATTTACCTTAAACCAGGAGCATTAAGAAGGTGATATTGCATGGCTTAACATTTCCCCCACTTTTCTTTTGAAAGTGTTAGGTTAAGAAGAAATCCAAAATATTTCATTTTGAAAAAAAAAATAGCATTTTCTACCCAGGGCTTTAAAGTATTGAGTCAATTAATCTTTGTCAGTCAGGTGTAGAGCTACAGTTATGTAGTAATTGGAGCCTACTTTGTTCGGGTTAAGTGAGAAATAATGATTTGTTGACTAGTTCATTTTTAAGTGAATGTTCAGAAATTTCAAAAATATTTTAATTTAGATAGTGTTTTGAAAGGGCTTACTTGAATATAAAGTCACTTGCATAGTTTATTTTTGGAGTTCTCTTAAGCATGAACGTTGCACATATTTCTTTATAGTACTAATTATGCACACAAGTAGGTACTTTTAGTTTAGGAGTTTTTGCCTGATTCTTGCTAGTGTATCTAGCCTCTGAGTATATATCAATGTAATTGTGCTGCCTTTTGCTCCTTGTTTCTTCCCAATGTAGCAAAATTGTTTTTTTTTTTAGCTTACAGCTTGGTTAATTGCCAGCATTTGCTAAAGGTGCTTTCCTCTCATGAATTCCCTGCTGTGATTTTGTGAACCCTTGACAGAAATGACACTTTGAAGTTTTTTGGTATACAGAAATGGTGGTTGTGCAAAAACAAACAAACCCTCAGAAAATAAGAATTTTCTGAATGTGTTGGAATTATATCTCCTGGAACTGACACTAAATGAACAAATCCTGACTCTTTGGGTGGTGTCTGTAAGATTTGCAATGAAATAAAACCTGAAAGCACTGTGTCCTTTCCTAGATTAAGTATTACAGAAAGTGCAAATGTGGTAAGTATGTGTCTTTAACTGCATGTAATGGTTGCCATGACCAGCAACCAAATTACATAATTAACGAAAATTTAGAATTCCTGATTTGGGACTCATCTTTGTATATGTATCTAACATTTACAGAAGTGTGTGTGTACAATGATTAAATGAGATGGATTTACTTCTTTTGTCTGTGTTGCTTTTTTGTTTGGGGGCAAAACAAAACATGAAGTTGTAAGTATTTTGAACTTCCTTATTCAGGGTTGCAGTCAGTGGTTATTAATGATGGAGATGACTTCAAGAGGAGAACTGCTTACTGTTGCCTATTTGAAATTAAAGTAACAGCTTACAAATCTTAAAAGCATCGAGGGCGTGCTTAGCAGTATTTCAGATGACCACTGAAGATGGGAAGGATTGCCAGCATTTTGAATAATCGAAGGCAAAAAAAGATCCAGGCCATCTGATTAAATAAAATTTAGTAAGGATAAATAAAAATACCAATATTTGTTTAAAAAAGCAAGTACAAGGTGGATAAAGTGTGTGTGGCTGGACATTATGGAGGCAGGTTAGTGCTGTGGAAAGAGTGCTAAATTTCTGACTTTGACTCGTTTTGTCATGTATTTTTACCTTTGTGGCTTTGGGCAAGGAACTTTTGGCCTTCAGTGTTTCTCATTGCTCAAATGGTGTTGGGGAAAGGTGGGGTTGAACTAAAGGACCTCCAAAGGTCTCTGCAATTGGGATGTTGAGAAGAGTCAAGATCATGTAGTATAGTGATTAGTTGAAGGAATTGGGGAGGTTTTTTCCAGAGAAGAGATGACTTGGGTAATATAGTTAGCTGTCTTCTGATAGTAAGACCTATCATATGGAAGAGATGTATGCGTGGCCACATTAACTGAACTAGGGAAAATGGGCAAAAGTTTTGGAGAGGCAGTTTTTGGCTCATTGTAAAACAGGTGATCCATGTGGCAATGGACAGCTTTGTGAGGTAATAGCACTGCTATGCCTCCATCCTCCACTGCCGAAGTCTCAAAACAGACTGGATGATGACTTGGTTGTTAGTGTTGAAATGGGATTTTTATTAAGGCATTAACTGAAGTTTATTATACCCTGAAGTGTTTGGTTTTTTTTTTTTTTAATTTTTGTGCTTTTTCTCAGTGTAGAACATGGTAGTTAATTTGAAAATGATACTTATATTTAACATTTGCTTATTTACAGGCAGAAGCAGTACATATTATACTTAGTGGTCTAACAGTTTTGTGGGTAGGGATTGGGTATGTAATTTTTAAAGGTTCATTTAAGTCTCCACATTATATTTTAAAATGTATTTAAAACTCAGAAAATGTGGTTATAAGATTTTTCTTTGGTGTTAATGAGTAGTAAGTATTCTTTGACCTCTGACTCAAACATCTACATCTCCATGTCTTTCCAAACTAATTAAATTAGAGAATTAACTGTGAAATGGCATTAATAGTTTTTAAAATAAATCACTTAAGCTTAAGTCTTTTCAGATTGCTACTCATTTATGAAAATTGTTTTGCTTTGTTTATATTATGGACAACATAGGTTTGTATGCAGATTATGTTACTATATGAGTCAAGTATTATAGCCTAGTTGTGTTCATAGCCCAAGGACTACAACATCCTGATGCCAGCTAGTGACATTTTTTCAATTACTCATTAACTGAGAAGCTTTGACCTCCCCCTGCTGATCTCAGTGGAGAATGAAAGTGTTTAAGAGATCCTCTTTATGCCAGAAGTTGCATGACTGGAAGGGAAAATACCAGTTCGTTAACTAAAAGATTCTTTTGATAACAAAGCCTTGTCCACTTTACAGTTCTTGCTGATTAGTACTGCTTTTCAGTTTATATAACTTCTAAGAGCTTAAGGATCTTTTAGTAGGGATGTCATACAAAATATCAGTATGTTCTGACTCACTGTACTAGATGTAACCACAGTGTTAATTGTGGTGTGGCAAATACAAGTGCAAATTCATGAGTCCTCTATAATAACAGCCCTAAAATTGCTTGTTCCAGTGTGGCCAAATGTCTTGCCCAGGGTCACAATCCAGTATATAGAGAAAGGATTTAAGGTCTTCTGATTCGAAGACTAACCCTTTATTCATTATGCCATACTACCTTTCTTAGATCTTGCTAGGAAGATGAAAAACTTCGAAGTTAACACCCAGAAGGCACATAAGCGAAAAATCTAAAATTTTCATCTTTTGAATAAAACACATTTTGGTTCTTAATGATAGAGGTTTGAGGATAGGGTTTGGCTAATTGGACATCAAAGTCTGTAATGTGATCTTTAAAAAACAAAATTAGCACTTTGCAAAGACAAGCTAAGTTTATATTGCCAAGGACTTATTTTTGGGGTAGGGTTGATCATAGCTAACTGTGCTGAGCAAAGGACTTATTTTAGATGTAGGAAGCTTCTCAAAATCAGAAAAGATAGACAATGTGTTTTAGATGCAAATTATACAGTACTTGGGGGGGAAAAGACAAGGGCCTTTGACTTTTTTTTAACAGTGATTCTGCATTGCTTTTATTTTTTTGGTGAGGCAGTTGTGGTTAAGTGACTTGCCCCGAGTCACACAGTTAGTGTTATGTGTCTGAGGCTGCATTTGAGCTCAGGTCCTCCTAACTCCAGGGCCATTGCTCTACATACCTAAGGAGCCACCTGGCTGCCCCCAGGGCCTTTTTGACTTTTGAGAGACTGAAGCAATCTTTTATTCCTAAACTCCAAAATGAACTAGCTACATAGTGCTCAATGTTATATTAAAGCATTTCCTCTTGATCTTAATTAATAGAAAATTAAGCTGTTGGCTGAAATATGTCATAATGCAAAATAGCAATCTTGGCAAAGATTGTTAATGCCACGAGGATCAAGAACGGTTTGAGGGAGTACCTGGTGAGTTCACCTTTTGGGTCAGGAAAGCTGTTAGAATTAGTTGCCAAGTATGTATATAGCATTATAGAAAGAACACCTGAAATACGAGGGGGTACTGGATGGCCTTTCTAGCTCTAAGTTTGAATCTAAGAAACTAATTGTAATAAAATGATGGTGAGGGTCAGAACATGGAATCAGACAATTTAGGGTTAGAAGACAGCCTGGAATGATTGAGTACATAAAAATGACTAGGAAGTCCTCTATTATAACAAGCTGAAATGGTATCTTCGAAATGTACCAGTGTTTTGGAATAGCTATAATTTTCTGAGGTTCAAGAGTTTAGGTTATTTACTTTCAACAGCTCTATGAGAGTGTATTATCTCCCTTTTACAGTTGAGGAAAAGGGCCATCTGACTCTAATCATGTGCTCATATCACTGCAGCATAAATGGAAGTAGGTATGCTGTCAACTATATTGTTAGCATGTTCCCTTACTTCCCACCATAGATTGATCTAGGGTTTTCTAATTGATTAGCAATGCAGATACAAAAACCTTTGCTTAGGTCTTCATAGCGGTGTGCTGACTTTACACTCCCTAAATCTCCTGTGCTTTCTTGCTACCATATCCCAGCAACTGACTAGTTAGGATGGTTGAATAATTGTCCCTGAGACTTTGGAGCAAAACATTTTGGCCAGAGGAGAGTACCCACCATTTTGCTAACCTAGAATTCTGTCCAAATGGGGGTGTGTTCGTTTCTCCAGGGCAGCATCTGCTGTCTGCTTCAGATAGATAAAGAAGAGCCGGGTGCAAGAAACCTTAACCCTGTATCAGGGATAGTAGAGATGCTGTGTGGCTCAGTCTCACATAGTTTGTTCTTGGTGTAAGTCCTAGTGAAACATTTTTCAGAATAGGTTCATCACTTAAAATTCTCTATGATGTGCTGGTGACTTGGCTAAAGGTTTGTGGAGAACAGACTGGTAAGTTACTACCCAGTTAAAAAGCATTGATTCTGGGCCCGATAATTATATAGACTTTTGTGAGCAGTAACCTAACCATATTTAGGTCTTCTCACTGGCTTGCCTCTTAAGTTTTTCAGCCACAATAATCCAGGTGTACCATCTACTCAGCTTTCAAAAGTTGCAGTCAGCCTTTCATTTGTCCAATAAGTAATGGATTTCCCAAGCCATATATTTATGACAATACTCAGCTGGGTTGGGCTTCAGCTATAAAATGTAAGCTATTAGGGGAATGTTTGTTTTTTAAAGCACTGCCAAGTGCTTAGCATGGTACTTGGTGTATACTAGGTGTTTTAAGAAAAGTTGAATGGAGTAATGGTGAAATTGCCTTAATAACAGTCTGCATAAAAGAACTTATTTTGGAGAATCCTCCCCTGCCCCTTTAGCACCTATTTGATCTACTTCAATATTGTTCATTGGATAATTCTTAGTCATTCATACAGATGCTCAGAAATACTCCTTAATGTGCAAGTGTCACTACTTTTAAGGAGAAGATGACTTCAGAATGTGGAGTCTCATTTTAAAGGACACAAACATTTTTTAAAAGTATGAATGTCAGCCACTCTGCTACTACCCAGCTGCAGGGCCTCATCACCTCATGCCAAGATTATTTGAACAGCTTTTTGCCCTGCCACAAGTGTCTGTAATCAGGTCTACCTGCTCCCTGTCAAAATGATCTTCCTAAGGTGCAGACCTGACCACACACTTCTGGCTGTTACAGAACCTTGGCACCTGTTGGATGACACAGCCTCTGGCCATCCTTTCTAGAACTGGCTGCACACCTTGAACTCAGTGGTTGAGTTGGATTATAACTTGCTTAGTGCAGGTTTTCTTCTTGTCAGCTCAGTAACCTTTCCTTTCAGGTTCATGCTATTCATCTCGACCACTGAATCAGAATCCTGGTAAGTCTTTACAAACCACCCCTGCCCCCTTTCCAACCCCCAGACCTCTCTCAGTGAGGTTGGTATATGGCTCTAGATTTCTTTCTGCTCCCCAAGTCCCAACCTTAAATTAAGGAATTTCAACATACTGATTACTCATGTCATAACCCCTTAGTTCCTTGTCCTCACTTCCCATAACCTACTCCCCCAGCTCACCTCAGCCACACACAGTATAGTCATATTTTTGATCTTGCCATCACCTATGAAACATGTTAAAAGAATTCTGAAATCTTCTATTTAACTGTCATCTATTGGCTTTTTACCTCCTCATCCTTTACCTAAGCCCTCATCTACATCCACACTGTGACCTCCAGTTGGTTGACCTTTCTTTTCCAG